AAAAAAAAAAAAAAAAAAGAAGTGCTACGGAAATAATAGTTACTGCTTTAATTTGCCCATTGCTGTTGTGAGGCAAAAATGTAAAGTCTTTCTAGTCCTCCTACCAAACTGCAGGCTCTCCAAATTCCCCCCAACACCCTCCACTCCCATCAAGGTCGAAAGTCCACAGTTCCTCTTACAGTTGCCAGGCTCCATCAATAGCTCTAGGAAACTTCAGCCTCCCTTCCCAGCAAGGACAAAGGAAGTACAGCCAGAAAGGCCAGTTCATTCCATGAACACACAGACCAAATCCTATTACAACAGATAGATTACTATCTCTACCCTCACCATCCCCTTCCCTCCCCACAAGTAAAACTGCCATCCCAACTATATGGCATTCAGATCATCTCCAAGATGAAAACTACCTTCACTGAGGCTGGGTTTGACCAAGAAGCCATCGTTTGTTGCGGTCAGTACGCCCGCAAGCCGTGAAGGAACGCCTGGGCCACAGCTCAGCACTGACTCTCCCTTTCATCAGCAGCTACTCTGCATCAAGTGTTTATCTTCAGTACAGTTTTCTTGTTTGGTGGGGATCTCCACAAAACTTACCCAAGTCCCCACAAGGGATGCCACTCTTCAGTTTGGGAACAGTCTTCTTAGACATCAGCGTAAATAGAATAGCCTGTTGCCTTCTGACTGATAGAACTTTAGGTAGCTGTGATCTTATGTTTGTCCTGACATTATTTCTTCTGCCTAAATATCTGAGAGGGATTGTAAATCCTACAGCCCACCCTCTTCCAGGCGGTGCTAAGCGCAGTGAAGTGGCAGGCACTTGTCCTGATGCAACACACAAGTGGCCCATGAACCTTTTTATGGATGATTACTTAATAAACCTATTAAACCCTTTCTGAGCTTATTCCCACACTCACTCGAGAGGCACCTGGGAATCTGCAGGAAATACACAGGGGTTTCATTTTGGGCTTTGTTTACAGCAACCCAGTTAAAGCAGTAGTTGGTGTTTAACCATTTTGAGCTTTGGAGAGCCCAGAGATTAACTGAAACTATTTTCACAACATCTATGGACCCCACTAATGTTTTGAAAACAACAAATACCCTACCTAACCTCCAGAGGGAACTAGGGGCACAAAATGGCTCAAACCAAAGTCCTACATATTTTGAGAGGGTGGCAGGTGGGCACAAGGCACAACATGCCTTTAAACTTGGGATTTCTATTATTTCAAAAAACCAGGCAGCTCTTTAGAATACTTCCTTCCTAGTCCCATATTTGTGCCACATTAAATGAATCTTTCAAATCAATCTATTCCATTTATTCAAATGATACTGTGAGCTATATAAAACTACCTGTAACTTCATCTATTCTCATAAGCATCACATCAATCAGCACCATGTTTTCAGAGGAGCTAATGCCACCTGCTTCCTGAGGGACAGTTACAGATCTGTGAGAGTGAAACCCATACAACCTCACCCTTACGTGCGTCTGAAGAAGAAATTAAGCTTTAAGATAAAAGCCAAAAATCAGGACAGACTTAAAATGCTGATTAAAAACTGTCATTTGTCTTCTAAAAGTAGACAGTGGTGATGGTTGCGAAACTCTACAAATATATATATACTGAAAGCCACTGAATTGTACACTTTAATAGAGTCAATTTTATGGTATGTGAATTGCATCTCAATAAGCTTGTGCTAAAAATAAAAATAGATGAAGTGAGGAATTCTCCTGTCTTTATTCATCTTTGTAACTTCAGCATGTAAAACAGTGCCAGTCACTTAGTAGGTATTCAATAAATGTGTGGATTAAATTTTTTAAAAAGTTGTCACTTGTACTAACACTTCATGTGTTAAAGTAATGCCTTGACATTATTTCTTTGGCTACTGTCAGCCAAACAGCCACAAATTTTTTAAATACTCGAACAGTTAAAGACAAATCAACCATGTAGAAATTGTTGTTCTGTCCAACTTAAATTCAATCTCCCAAAGTTGAAAAGATTAAAGTTAACTAAGTCAGCAAAAACCATGAGAAATAACTGCAATTATATGAACAAAATACATTAAAAACAAAAGTTAATATTTAAAAATCCAACTATTAATTCTAAACATTTTGTTCGATTTGTTGAGATTTCTTCTACTTTAAATTTAAATAAATCTAATGGTCAACTTAATGAAAAGCAGGGGATGGCAGTGTTAGTATTGAGGCAAGGAAAGGGTGGAATAACCACTGTGTGTCAAAGATCTAAAGGGGCCAATTCTGATCCAATCCAATCAGAGTATGAAGCCCAAGAGCAAGGACAAGGTCTTATTTCACACGTGATTCAACACACATAAGGGAAGTTTACTGAGTGCAATGTGATATAAATGGGAAAGAAAGGAATCTTTCACCACAGTAACCAATACAGAAAGGATGCTATTTAAGAAAATTTTCTGGTAATTGCAAACTTAAATTCTAAACTTAAAGATGATCTCATACATTTTAGCAATATTTGATTTTAAGCTCCAACTAGGAAATGCAAATTTTAGAGTTTTCAGTAACCTTCTTAATATGGAATTAGGTACAATGAGGTGAAGAACTTAATTCTGCAGAGTAGTTTGTCTTTCAAATCTTATAAGGGTTTTAATTCAACATTCAGGAAAAGGACAGGTTATTGTTATGATAAATGTAACAAATTTATTTAAATAGATTTAGGCTTACCTTAGTTGGTATGCTTTGAAGGACACCAATAGTTCCTCCAATATAGTTAACTTTCCCAGTTCCACTTTCTAAATTCCTTCTGGGAAGTAAAGGCTTTTTTATATTCAAAAATACGTTTCAAAACTCAAAAATGCCACTGGATGGACTAGATAGAGGAAAACTCAGAAGGAAATATGTCAAAGGTGACAAATCAACTTAATGGTTAATTTCACATTTGTCCATACCATCCTTGCAACCTCCCAAATTTAAGTATTCCTAAATTAAAGTGCTTTTAGTTTTCAGTAGACCAAAACCCTAGAGCTTCTAATCACTTTTTTTTTTCTAATCATCACTTTTTCTTTCTAAAAACCAACTGGCCTACACTTAAAAAATATACAAGATTATGAAAGCAACCTAAATGTCCATAAATTCTCAGACTGGTTAAACTATGGTGTCTTCATACTACAGAATACCATTTCAGCCCTAAAAAGAATGCAGTAGATGTCTGACGTGTGCAGGGAGGGAAGAGCGGAGATATCCTGTTCTGTGAAGTAAGCAAGTTGAATTAATAGAGAGTCTAATCCCACAGTATGTTTCTAAAATGGGACCTTAACACAAACTGGCTTTCAAAATGAACTTTTAAAAACTAGTAACTAGTGACTGCCTGAGGAGTGCAAGAATTAAGGAAGCTTACTTTCGTTTTTCCTATAAGCTATTTTTTCCAGCAGGAGTGCCACACCCCAATACCTTAGTTATCATCACACCTTGACTTCACTGAAGAGGAATCTGAAAAAGCCCAGAGAACTTAAATTTCCTCAAAGACCTACAGAGAGAGAGATGCACGTTAGCAAATACACTCCACAGGAAACAGTACAGAATGGACCAGTAAGATTAGAATAGACACAGAGCAGAATGGGAAGGAAACTGCAGAGCAGAAACAAGCAAAAGGTTTGTAGAGCGGGAAGGAAGCAGCAATGAGCAAAGACAAAGGACCCAAGCAACCAAAGACAACTTTGCAGCAAAAGCGATCCATTTCTTTAGAGCTGAACTTTAAATGACAGGATGATGGGAAAGGAAGAGAAATAAACATGAAAAGCCCTTGTGCTGAAAAGCTATGAGCAACCTTGAGTTGCTGTTAACTGGTAATGCCACCCTCCACACCATTTTAGTCAATGGTAGGCTATCTTTAATCACATATGAGTACAGCATCCAGTAAACACTGTAGTGTAACTGGAGCAACACTCTACACAAAAAGGTCAAATAAAACTGTTTTGTGTCCTCCCCGTGCTAGGCGCTTGGTTGCAGTTTTCCCCAACAATGAGATGTGTTTACTCGGAGCTTACGGAGAGCCATGGAGCAATTAAATACTATTATTTCCTCTTATCTACTTCTAAATGATGAGCCCATCTCCCAGCATCAAAAGTTCTGAATTTCCTTTTTTTATTGTTAAGGGACAAATTTAAACCTGCCTGAAGGAAAACTAAGAAAGGGGTGGTAGACCCCAACTTGTCTGTCAATACCTTCTCCAAACATGCACCCCACCCAGTCTCTGAGAAACTGTATTTATAACGGTGGCTGCCTATGGAATCCACACTTAGCATTAGAGCCTAGAACTCATCAGAAATAAGTCTTCAGGTGAAATAGCAGCCTTAAAACACACACACATCTCTGAGTTCTAGATATTATTGAAAACAAAATGCTAGGTCCTCCCATTTTAGTAGTGTGAAAAAATACTCGGTATCCTAATTCTAAATTCTAGATATTAAGAGCGATTCCAAGGGACAAGAAAGTTGTAAAGGCTGGAGAGATGGTGTGTATTTGTTTTAAGGGATGATTACGAGTTAGGAAATACAATTATTTCGAGTCTGGTGAAAAAGGCACTGTAACAAGTCAAGTTGGAGCCCATTTTCTGCTTTGTCTTTACAATTTAATAGGAAGTCACTTCTAATTTTATTTGACCCTCTGTAATATTAGAGTGGCTGAAATCTCACTTCTGCTTTCCAGGGATGCTGTGAAACAAGAGTATGAAAATACCAGTGTATGTATACCCTTTATTTCCTTGACTTTATAAGACTTCACATTAAAGAATAATATAAACTCTGTCACAGGACATGTCCAACAACTTAAAGTGAGGGTAGACTCTTAATCTTGGAAGGTCTTCTTTTAAACCCAGGTCTGTGGGAAAAGAGGAAATTAACCTTTTCAGGTAGACTTTAAGGGCATGAAACTGGACAATATTCCTTTCTGTGAAGCTGTTCTCCCATTTTCAAGCGGACAAAAATGTTAAGGAAGGGGGTATTGCAGTACACACTTGTTCTGACCCAAACCTCAGGAACATTCAATGAACTCAGATCCTTTTCTATTTCCTCACCTATAAAATAAGGATAAATCCCAACTCTCAGTAATATCCATAAAGCACCAACACAAGGGCTGGCAATCTAATAGACCTTTAAATGCACTGAATGGACTGTATTCTAATCTTCTCTTCCAAACATGTTCTTCTGTGTTCACTTATCTCGGTTATCATCCACAGTCACACAAAATAGGCTGGAAGTCAACTGCGCTCTCTCCCTTCTCACCCTCTGCATGGCCACACCACTGTCCACTACAAAGTCCTTGGAGACTTTCCTCCTTTCTGCACTTCTCTGGTTCAAGCCCGTCCCATCCCAGCTGATTCCGTCCCTCATCGTGTTGCTTCAACTCCTGTCACAAACTCATAACAGACTCACTGTATCCTTCAAACAGGTGGTATCTTCCTAAAGTTCAAGTAGTAATCAACCCTTCCAAGGTACCAGTACTGTTTCTGAATAATATCTAAACTCCTTGGCAAGAAATTCAAAGCTTTTCAGGATCTGGTGCTGCCTACCAGCTGTTTCCAACTTGCAATTCTGATATTCCCCAAACCAACCTTAATAACTAGCTACATCTCTACTCAGATTGTTATTTCTGCCTGAGATACTTTCTGCTCCATCCCCTTAACCTTGGAAACTCTTTTAAGAATTATTTAGTTTTACAAAATCCTCCCATTATCTTATTAGAACACCTAACACAGGATTTCACATACTTATTCACTGTATTATCTCCTCTACTCAATGATAAACTGTTGTAGGGCAGGAACCAAGTTTCATATTACAACCAGGTGTTGACTGTACATAGTACACAGAAAAAAGTGGAATTTGCAAAATACCCCAAGAGTGGTGTAGACAAAATAGACCTGAATGTATTCTTAAAGGCAAGGAAATGGTGCCTACAACGAAGATGTGAAATAAAAAACTGGTAATTTGAATAGTCACTTCTCTTTAACAATCAAGTCTACAGACTTTATGGGGGGAAAAAACCTGTGAGGTTTAAAGATTTCCAGGAAATGTAAATCAAATGAATTAATTGGAGAAGATTAGTAGTAAACAATTCAATGCTTTCACAACAATTAGCAGAAAAAACATTTATTGCTTATTTCAAGCAGGCTTGTGGGAGGAAGGAAGGGATTAGAATTGTGTAGGGTGAAATGAGTTTTCAAAATAAGAGCAATTTAAACTAAATCAGTCTTGCTACAGCACAATTGTAAGCATAAGGAAAAGAGTAGAAGAGTGTAACAGAAGGGCATCCCTCAGATTTCAAGGGCTTTGTCACCTGCCAAGGAGCCCTGTATCTTATGTTCTGTAAGCAGTAGAGAGCCATTCAAGAATCTGAGAAATTTAGTGGCTTAACTGAACACCTTTTGTTTTACTGTCAATTCTTCTCTTTTCCACAGTACCTTTATTTCTTTCTATACAATAGCTTTAAAAAAGATTGTATCAGTTATATATCATAGTTCCCCCTTATCCATGGGTTATTCATTCCAAGACCCCAGGGGATAACTGAAACTGCAGACTGTACAAAACTCTATTACGCTATGTTTTCTCCTACACATACATACCTCT